GTATTACACCTCCACATGGGAAGGTACGACCACCCTGCCTATTTCGGCCGCGTAACATTCATAAGTTCCGGTTTGATGGGGCACAGCCATTATACATGGTGATTGAATCTTCGATCTCATGCCACAAGGAAAGTGGCTGTGGCTACATTCACGTCGAGCCCTTGCTCTATGGGCCTTGGTAACAATTCAGTATAAGACGGGTCTTGAGCTAGTTCATTTATCTTTGCAATAAAAATAATTAAAAACGTATGTAATGTTTCAGTGGAGTTAGGTACTCTCATAGGCACAGGCCGGCGATCCTCTTCTTTAAGAGGCATCGGAAAATGACCTTTAACGCAACTACAAAAATAATAAATATAGTTTGACAATCGTTATCATAATATTTAGTCTTTTAGCTTTGGGTTCACATTCAGCTTGTGTTCAGAAATTTCTGCCCGAAAATTGACCTTCTGATTGGGCCGTACCACCGGGAGTGTTCTATCTGTTATGCGCTTCGTCTCTCATCAAGTTAGGTCGATTCTCTATTTTCCTTTGCTAATGACGTTTTTCCACAGTAAATGCAACTCTCAGAGCTACTATTTTCGAAGTACATAAGTTATGTAATAGTTAATACTATGACATCTCAGTCCTTAAAGTAGCATTCTAGCCTTAAGTGTAGAAAATAAAAGTTTCTTCCAAATTATTGATGTCCTTGAGCCTAGTGTCTACTGTTCTGTTTTTCATAGTTAAAAAGAGATAATGATATCAGATCATTAAAACCAGTGCTTTAACTGTGCGCTAGACTTAATAGTGAAAAGATCGGAAATAAACATTTGCGTTCCAGCCAATCACAACACCTAATTTGTTTCAACGCGAAATATTGGAACACAGTACCACTAAAGCTATAATAGCAATCGTGATAAATTAAAAATCAGTATTTATTGAAAAAGCTACCGAGTATGACACATTTATAAAATAATATTTATAACCCGTGCTTGTTATATGAGCGAATCAGTGTGTTTAGTTTTGCGTTGGTCGAATGAATCATTATGAAGATAGTTGTTTAATATTCTACACGTACGTATTGTAGTTAAGTCGTGTGGACCAAAGGGAACGGTTTGTTAGAGAATCCTTAAGTGTTTTTTTTTTTAAATATACCCTTATGAATTACAATACAAGAAAAACAAAAAGTAGGTTGACTAAGTGGGATTTAGTTAAAAACATAATCAAGAAATAAAAATCGTTGGTAAAGGTGTAATTTCAAAATATACTTTTAAGAAAATGACACATGGAAGAAACTCCCAGATTTTACAAAAGGTAAAAGTGTTTGAGAATCATATCATATCTTTAAACGACCAATTTTAGTCTATAGAAAAAAATCGTGTATCTCAGAAATGGTTGGTTCTGAAGATTTGGATCGAGTTTTGCATTTAGATAAGGTTTGTTTTTTAAAGTTATTAAATTGCCATATTATGCATATTATATAATACTCTAAATATATCTACATAATAAAATTGGATATTATATTCAATTAAAAGAGTCTTATATACGATTGGGACTTCGATCTTATGTTATATTATGTGAAGTTGAGAGCTCATAGTTTACCCTTAACCTCCTCACATCAGACGAGCCGTGAGCTGGTCCACCCAATCTAGACAAAAATATAAAATAAAAACATATACAAATGAAGAGGATATAGCTCGACTTTGTGGTTTTCCCGTTTTTACCCAACTGCCGAAGGACCGAAATGTTTTTTGAGTGTATGTGTTAACCTACAACCTGAAACATTTAGACGGATTTTAACATAAGAAGTGTCAATAGATTTTCCTTAGTTCTATGAATGACATAGGGTGTATTATTCACAACATGTCCACGAGAAAAAATCAAATACCTAACTGAAAACGTCGAAATATAAAAAATAAAAAATTAATGAAACAGAAACTTGAATTCGAAATACTAAGTAAAAACCTGAAGTATACCTTTGCTTTGTGTTTTATTAAAGGTATTAAACTTAGGTAAAGGTTAGTGGCCGTCATGAAGGGGCGGAAGAAAATCGCCGAATAGAACCCCGCCCTTTATTGCGCTAGAGTGTAAGTGTAGAACCCCATTAAAACCCCTCGTCGCTCTTTAGCTAAATGTTTAATATTCTTCGAGACCGAATTCGGATCGAGATAAAGTGGCGTCTTACTCTCTAAGGTTGTAGGTATCGCGATATCGTTCCTGCGCCCAATAGGTAGCTTCGAATTGTTTTAATCTTCCGCGGCTATCTACAATAAGTTACATATACTATTATTTAACGAGTTCTTTCCACGATTTTCACATTAAATAACTTCCCGATATAGACCCCCAGTAGTCTACCATTGATCATGGCGCTCGCATTAGCGCTGAAATATCCGAAACCCATTAAATGTGAATAACGTGATAAGATTCCGTTTAGTATTACTGTGTGTAGTAAGTTTCTCTGCATGCCTGGAAACATACACGTGCTCATCATTGTTCATGGTAAAGAGGAGCACAGCAAAGCAGCTGCCCATCGCTAGCCAAAATTAGGCTTTATTGTTTACATAGGCGAACGAGGTAACGATCGATTTGGTGTTGCCTGACACCATAGGTAGAGCAAAGTAAATTTCGTCACCCATCTTGGTACATGAGGTCGAAGTCAGTTCTGTTGTATATCTATCTTCCATCTTCTATATATAACTATATACATAAAAATGAATTGCTGTTCGTTAGTCTCGCTAATAAAACTCGAGAACGGCTGGACCGATTTGGCTAATTTTGGTCTTGAATTATTTGTGAAAGTCCAGAGAAAGTTTAAAAGGTAGATAAATATGTAAATGCTGGAATTAAATAAAAATAATTTTGTTTTTCCTTTGATGTGTCCCCCGTCGGACGGATTCCTTTTGTCTTTTATTTATCGATTGAGGGACTACGAAGTCTGCCGGGTCAGCTAGTCTAGCTAGTCAATAAATTTGATATTTTAATACAGCATATTAATTCTTCAGCATGGAAATTGTTCTTCAACAACTATTAAGTAGGTACGTACTTTTTTAAAAAGTAGGTACTTCATTTTTACGCGTTAGTAAAAGATTCAATAAACTTGTGCCTTCCAAAGAGGGAGGAGCAACGGCGGTCAACACTGCTACCAGACTTATTCGGAGATGGAAATGCATTAACAAGTTACAACGCGCGTAATGCTTATCGTAGTAACATCTCGGATCGTTGCGTCCGTTGACATTTCCTTATTTGTCATTTACCTACATATTTGTGACGGCCGTAGCTGACATACAAACATTATGACAATAAACAGAAGCTGAACTTTAGCAGCTCCTGGCCATTAATATCGCTCGCTACAATGTTGCAAGAAATGTAGGGCAATGACCCTATCTTATATAACCATCGCTGTTTGGTATTTCGAAGGAAAAACGACGAATTGTGTCTCTCTGTGGTACGTTTTTATTCGATTCCGGTATTACAAAAACTAATCTACAACTGTGTCTTACCGTTCGACTGCCCGCTGTTTTGTTTACGGTCACAAAAGGACCCTAAAAGTAAGATTTAAAAATCTGAAACGCAAGTGACATATAATGGCACTAAAATTTTTCAAATTTGCGCTTGTTTTTGTGTAACATCAATATAAAAGCATTTCTCAAAGACGACGATTCTCAATTCTTAACTAAGTACGTTTTTTTTGCTAATTTATTGAAGCACAAAACAAATTACAATCATTACAGTACATATTAGCTAAATCGTACAAGTAGTACCTATATCTAATCTGGATTGCAATCTAAATGGTATGTGCACTCAGCAAATCCATATTAATGTACATAGATTTGGCCATTGAAAACAAAATTACAATTATTTACAACTTGCCATTGTTAAATAGGATATCCTTCACACATCTGACAAATTTCTTTTGATTTTTTTGTTTTACTGTTTTGATTTCTTGTTCACGCAATAAAAAGAGGTAAAATGTATAGGAACTAGGTACTTATTCGTTTAATAACGTTACATGTTCATAAAACCACTTACATTTAGATAAACATTACAATACAATTATTATAATAGTCAACTAGGTATTTTCTATATCGAAAAAATTAGAATTAGAAACCAATTAGAGTATGTACTTTACATAAATATTTTCATTTTTCTTGACTTTGTATATTATGGTAGGACCAAAAAATTATTAATAATGACGTAGCGTTTTGCTATATTGGTTACAATTTTAAATCACCGCAAATTTGTCGTTTCCCTTGATAAAAAAACTATGGTTTATCATTTTTATTTATTTATTTTTATCATATATTGTTTTATACAAGTTGCAAATTTCAATATCATGTGTGTCCGTTTTTATATATATTATATTATTTTGTTAACATAAACAACGAACAAATAGTCGAAGACGTTTTATAGTTTAATTTATGTTAATTTGGTTATTTTTACAGTTCAACTAACACTGCAAATACACTCATTATTTAATACAGTTTTCTTGGTGAAATACAACAAACGTTGTTGTTTGAATGTACCATTCGGAAAGCTCAGAAAATTCTGTTAAGAAATTAAGTTTACAAGTAATGGGAAACTTTAATAACAAGTTCAGGAAAATCTAAGTTATGATGCGAATTGGTGTATGATAGCGTGACTTGCAAATAAACATACTGTTTGTTCGAAACAATATACAACTTTGTTTCATAACTAAGGTCTAGATTGAACTAACTTACTAGCGGTACACTGTATTGCGATTCCACGCGGTTAGGTACCACCACTCTGCCCATTTTCTGCCCTCATTAGAAGGCATCCCTCAAAGTTCGTGGCAGTATTCACGTTGTTGATGTTGGCTCTGGTAACCACTTAAAACCAGATGGGTCATAAGCATTAAACTACACAAAAAAAACTTAATTTCCAAACCTTAGAGGCTGGATTGTTCTAAGGTAATGTTGATTAGTAGCCTCCTTAGTAGTATAGATTATTATGAAGGCATTAACTTTAGTTAGCAGTCAACATTTTGCTTTGTCTTGTAGGATTCGTGTCGTCTCGTCGGTGGCTCAAAGTTCTATGAAATGGTCGATGGCTCGCCATCTGCCGATACGTCCACGCCGTCACCAACAGAGAAGCATGATCATATGAAGCCGATAGAGAGCGACGATGAAGGTATCTGGTTTTGTTTATGATTCGAATTATAATAGCTGAGGAATGCTCTGAGGATTTTTTTACCATCGCACCACCCATCACCGGAGTAGAGTTCATCCATACTTCATAGAGCCACTGCGTTTATTCACAGTGCGTTTCCAGAGATCATTTTTGCCCCGTATCATTCGGCTTTGGAATGAACTCCCCTCTACGGTGTTTCCCGAGCGCTATGACATGTCCTTCTTCAAACGAGGCTTAAAGCCTAATAACATAAAATTAAAAACAGAAAAACGTTGCCGCCACCCCGAGGAAGTCTTTGAATTATAACAATCTAAAATTGTGCATTAAACTATCCTTCTAAATTGTTAAGGAAACATCAAAAGTATCATCTTAGATCAAGTAAGTACCTTGTTTATCTGTCAAGAATTGTTATCCTTCATTTTGTTTTAGTTTCGGACGTGGATCAAGAATGCACAGTGTTCAGCGGCGTCAGTTACCTGGGAGCCCAGAACATTTCGGATCCGAAGTGCGAAAGCGACATCCAGCGGATTATGAAGGAACTAAGTTCGATGCCCGAGAGCAGGGACGGAATCGCGGTGTCGATATCGATACCTGTGTGCTCGCAAGGATTGGTTGTGTAAGTTATTATGTTATTTTATCGATCTATTTCCTATAGATAATGATACGAGTAGGGCGTATTCGATTTATCTGCGATTCCAATTTTACCCGCCACTACACTATAATACAATATAGAAGAAAAGTCAACAATCTATAAAAATATTCACGGAAGTATAAATCTGTATGGGAAAATGTAACAATTTTGTTTTATCTATACTATCTATATCTATACTAATATTATTAAGAGGAAAGATTTGTTTGTTTGTTTGTTTATATTGAATAGGCTCCGAAACTGCTGAACCGATTTGAAAAATTATTTCACTGTTTGGAAGCTACACTATTCCCGAGTGACATAGGATATAATTTTTTTTTTTTTAATTTAGTGATCCTTTCTAAATCTCCAATAATGTAACCCAAGGTGTAAACAAATTACCTAAAATATTCTTTACATCGCGTGCCCTGCGAAAACTATTGATGAGAAAATAAAATAATGTACTACGACTTTGTAGAACACATTATTAGTTACAAAAAGTGTCCCGACAGCATATGTCCAACTATTATAGTTATGCCGCAATAAGTGTTCTTTTATTTAAAAAAATAAAACCACGTCGTTGAAATTTTTGTTAAAGACCCGCGCGGAGCCGGAGCGGGCCGCTAGTTTTGTATAAAACTTTATACTCAACAATTACACTATTTAAAAAGCCTGCGTTTTACTAAATCAGCATTGATGTTAAAAGGCTTGCTGCTAACGTTATTTCAGTGCAGTAACTTACAGTTGAGTCGTCTATTATCAAAGGTGGCAATCTGTGCATTTGGACAAAAAAATGTTATTGATATGTCAGTACAGATGATTTGAATATAATCGTCTCCTTCAAAGAATACGGTTCAAAACCTGCATTAAATAAAGGTTAATACTTAACCTGTTATTTATCTAAGATGTCGTTCAGAAGAGTTTTGTGACTGCCAATGGAATACAAAGTCAATAATTCGTTTTTCTGATTTACCAATAATTGTCCAAAAGTCACATTGCCGGCTTTGATAATAGTCGACTCANTCGTCTCCTTCAAAGAATACGGTTCAAAACCTGCATTAAATAAAGGTTAATACTTAACCTGTTATTTATCTAAGATGTCGTTCAGAAGAGTTTTGTGACTGCCAATGGAATACAAAGTCAATAATTCGTTTTTCTGATTTACCAATAATTGTCCAAAAGTCACATTGCCGGCTTTGATAATAGTCGACTCAGTTATCTTTTAATATTTTGAGACACATTCCTTTTTCGAAAAAGAAAAATCAATTGCTAATTTTGATCCCTAAGTGCAGCATTGACCGCCGGCACGTTTTCGTAATCGATTCATGTCTCTCAGGCTGTACCAGGCGGATTCTAATAGCGTGATGGCGCGCTACGCCGTCAATCGCATTTCGTTCTACGCTCGCGGCGCGGTCGGTTCGCCGGTCGCTTCGTGCTTCGCGTTCACCTGGTCCCACGGCGAGACCAAGGAATCCGCAGTGTACAGGTGCCACGTGTTCCGCTGTCACATCGCTGAAGCTGTCACACAAGTGTCAAGTGAGTTTTTTTTTATTTTTGCACTCAAAGGATTCTTCATCGTGCCGCTCACTTGTCACCATCGAGTTTAATTAACTCCATCATCAGTCCATAGTATTAGTGTGTATTAATGTCGTTTTCTATAGATATTTTTTGTTGTCTACTTGTGGTAGGGCTTATTGTGAGCCAGCATGGACAGATATTATAACCTTGACTGTTTTTTTCGCAAAGCAGTGATCCGTTCCAGTTTGTTGAACTGCACCTAAAAGATACGATTACTTCATCGACCAAAAGCATGCTTATCCATTTGGAGAATTTATTTAAACTGATTACGGCCCACCTGTTTCAACCGATTACCAAAATAAACCATAAAGTGACTGTACCAACCTTGATGACTAATGTTGTTATGGCAATAAAGCTATACACTTTTATCAAAAGACTTTGAACACTAAAACACAATCCGGAGTTTTGCTAAGAGTTTTTTTAAAGGGGTCGATAGTGTTACCGAAAAGTCTATTGTTTTAAAATTATTATTTTTTAATTAAATACCTGTATGTTTAGATTAAATTGTAAACAAAAAATAAAACAAGGAATGCGTTATTTTAAACACACAAAATATATATTAAAGCAAGTTTAATAAGACAATTTGTCTACCTAACCATCGTAAATAGATACTTTTGTAATTCAATGTAGGTAAGTAAGTGCCTCTAATGACAGTACAAACTAAGTCATTTACGCTATTTCAAGGGCAAAGGCAAAATAAAATCCGATTTTGAAGATTAGGCACTCTGTGTGTACAAATTCTCACGTGCTTCGAAAGTAAACAATAATAACATTGTCGAACACGTGACGTAATGTTGTGGGATTGATACGTACCTACACGTCAAACAAATGAGTATACGAACTATCAAGAGAGATTGTAGCCGCATTGATTCATTGTGAATTGTGTGTGCCTGTGCAGTGATCTGTTAACGTGAATGTTCCTGACCGCGTATTGAGAATTGATTGGATTTTTTTGTAGTTTTATTTTGTTTGAATTTGGTACGTACATTTGAAATGTAGGTTTCGGTATTTATTAGCGACTAGCTGTACCCGTCCGCTTCGCTGGGCATTTAAAATTAACATTATTATTTCTCGCCCCCACAAAGATTCCCATCATTAACGCCCCCGCAACTGGTGTAGGGAGTCCAACACTCATATAAATATTAGCTTATCCATTAAGTACATGTATTTTCTACATCGATACCAAGTTTCAAGTCAATCGGATGCATGGTTCAGTAGTTATAACGGAACATCCGTAAAAACCACTGTAGATTTATATATTAGTATAGATTAGTCTGAGTCGTCTGTGTCTGTGATCTGTCTCATGGCCCAGCTAGTGTTAAGTGGTTACTGGAGCATTTATGCATAGCTATATGGTATCGCCGTCCGCGCTCGTACATGAGGTCGAAGTCTCAATTGTATGTATTAGATTTTTTTTTTATTGCTTAGATGGTTGGACGAGCTCACAGCCCACCTGGTGTTAAGTTGTTACTGTAGCCCATAGACATCTACAACGTAAATGCGCCACCCACCTTGAGACATAAGTTCTAAGGTCTCAGGTATAGTTACAACGGCTGCCCCACCCTTCAAACCGAAACGCATTACTGCTTCACGGCAGAAATAAGCAGAGTGGTGGTACCTACCCGCGCGGACTCTCAAGAGGTCCTACCACCAATAATTAGTAATATAAATAATAAGTAAGTAATACTCCTAAAAATAAGGTGCGTATTAGTAACTCTTACTTGCTACAAGTAATTGCGCAAATTTTTTGGATTTATAAATAATAAATAAATAAATAACAGCGAACAAATCACGCACGCTCTTTTGGCCACAAATTAGGGTTCCCTGTGTTATGGGTATCAGCTACTGACGTACACACTTACGCTTAAATATATACATATATAGATAATAAACGCCCAGGCAAAGAGTAAACATGTGGGAATCGAACCCACGACCCTTGGCGCAACATTCAGGGCCGTTAACTACGGCATCACCACCTCAGTCAGTCAGGAAATGTTCACGATTGACTTCCGCGGTGAAGGAATAACATTGTGTAATAAAAAAAAATCAAACCCGCAAAATTATAATTTACGTAATTACTGGTGGTAGGACATCTTGTGAGTCCGCACGGGTATGTACCACCGCCCCGCCTATTTCTGCCTATTCTATTCTATATATTAGTAATGCGTTTCGGTTTCAAGGGTGGGGCATACTTGAGACCTTAGAATTTATATCTCACGTTGGATGGCGCATTTACGTTGTAGATGTCTATGGGCTCCAGTAACCACTTCACACCAGGGGGGCTGTGATCTCGTCCACCAATCTAAGCAATAAAAAAAGGTTTAAATTTTTACAGTATACAGTCAAAACCGTTTACTGCGACATCGGTTAGAACAACATGCCGGTTATAATAACTTAGAACAAAGGTCCCGGCTGAATGCTATATGACCGCCTTATTAAAAACATTGCTTTATACGACATTGCTTATACCGACATACCTCATAAAACGACCACATTTAACTAATATTTCGGAGAATTAGATCTGTTAGAACGACCGGCTAAGCTGTATTGTAAACAATTTGAATAGGTATCCACATTTGTCCAATGGCTATTAAAATCAGGAAAGAAAACAGTAGGATTTAGTTTAGTTAGTGTAGGGTCTTTTCTAATTCTTAGAAACAAAACACGTGCATGCAGTAGAGTCAAAGCCCGCTTCTTCATATCTCTTCAGTTAGTTTGTTACTTATCTATACACAAGACGCACCAAAACTTTGTGGAGTTATTCGTGAAACTTTAAAAATGTCGCAATGAAAAAGAAAACAAATTAATATTGAAGAAAAATCGCGTATTATATCCAAGCTAGAGAGCGGAACTTCAAACAAAGACTTAGCAAAGGAATATGGTGTATCACATTCGACAATTGCAACCATTTGGAAAGAGCGATGACGATACGTTAATTAAAATCCAACGTGAATTATAAAATATCTATGCACAACAGAAGTGTTCCAAACAGACCAAAATTACAGATTTTATGCTCACAGAAAAATAATATGCATGTTGTACTTATGTGTAATAAACAAAATGTACATAGTTGAAAAAATATATTTTTCCAATAATTCCCTNACCATTTGGAAAGAGCGATGACGATACGTTAATTAAAATCCAACGTGAATTATAAAATATCTATGCACAACAGAAGTGTTCCAAACAGACCAAAATTACAGATTTTATGCTCACAGAAAAATAATATGCATGTTGTACTTATGTGTAATAAACAAAATGTACATAGTTGAAAAAATATATTTTTCCAATAATTCCCTATCGATTTGTTTGTACTTGCACGATACATATTAAACATCACCGGTTGTTACGACTATCGGTTTTTACGACTGAATATGAGCAGTCTCTTCAATGTCGTTATAACAGATTTTGACTGTATTTGGCTTAATTGCAATTAAAACCTAATTAATTCCATAAATTTATTTGCAATTGATTTTTTTAGCGATAAGACCGCCCATCGTATATTGATCTCTATTTATATGAATCTTGTTGTTATCATAAGGTATATTAGAAATAGTACTCGGAATAAAAAAATATAAGAGTTATTAAAATAATAATATAAATGGATTTCAATATAAACGGTGTACACTTTTATTATCAGTTGACTCAATGTTCTGCATTTCACAGTTGACATAAACACTGACACAGTTTTTTTATATATTTATATTTAAACTGATAATTATTGTGTATTTAATTACAACGTTCATATTCTGAATAGTCTCTATATATAAAAAAATTAATTGCTTTTCGTTAGTCTCGCTAAAACTCGAGAACGGCTGGACCGATTTGGCTAATTTTGATCTTGAATTATTTGTGGAAGTCCAGAGAAGGTTTAAAAGGTAGATAAATATCAAAATTCTCGGAATTAAATAAAAATAACAAATATTTTTTTCCTTTGATGTGTCCCCCGTCGGACGGATTCCTTTTGTTTGTTTTAAGTTTATTTTATACAAAAGCTTAGGTCTTTTATTTATCGATTGAGGCACTACGAAGCCTGCCGGGTCAGCTAGTAATATAATAATAATGCTTGATATAAAATGAATAGAATCTACCAAACGATGATGATGGTACAGCATGATTTATCTTTATGAGTTGTTAGTCATGTAAAAATTGTAATAGCGATAGAAAATAATTCCATTAATATATTATTTACATATCATTAATATATTATGTACCATCATCATCGTTTAGTAGATTCTATTCATTTTACATCAAGATTTATTATTATTGTAAGCATTATTAATTTGTATAAAGAATACTGTCAAATGACATTAAGTTTTGATGGCATAATGAAAGTAGATTATTTACTACAATCATGCTACTGGTCTCAACGACTTCTGTGTACAATTTAGTTTGCAGTAAAACATTTTAGTTTTATATGTGTGTATTAGCAGTAGTCGCCGCCCTGCTGCTAGGTCGTACGTTGATTTTCCATTTCGGGAAAACGTGTGAAGAACAGGTTTGTTTGCTCTGTATTTGGGTGTTTAAAATCTACATAATATACATCTATACATATAAATAAAATTGGAGTGTCTGTTTGTAATATTGAAATAACCGGTTTTTACTACATGCATATAAATATAATACGGTACGTACACCAAAATATTTTTTTTACAATTTTTGTCTGTCTATCTGTTTGTTCCGGCTAATTTCTGGAACGGCTAGACCGATTTTGACGAGACTTTCAGTGATAGGTAGCTGATGATATAAGGAGTAACTTAGGCTACTTTTTTAGACTAGCTTCGTCCCGCGGCGTCACCCGCGGTACGACAATAACCGCGGGAAACATCGCGGGACTCGGCTTTCAATAATAAAATTTAATGTTTCCGAAGTGAAGCGAGGGCGGGTCGCTAGTTAGGAATATATCTATATAATTATACATATAAGTCTGTCTATTAATCTCTGGTTCATATGTGATATGTCCCGGATAATTCGTTTTAATGGTTTTAATATTTTCATTAGTACTATAAATAAATTGTATTCATTTAGAATACAGATCTGCCCGTCATAGCTCGTGTTCTTATCAAGATGATTCGTTCTTTCTGTTAATAATTTTTTGGTACATTAGTTTAGCAGATGTAATCGACTGTACTTGTTTCACTTCAAATCAATAGAAGGTTAAATAATTTATTATTTATTTTAATTTATGAACAAGTTAATGAACTATGGTGATTGTTTTTTAATGATTAAAGTTTGTTTACGTTGTAGCCGAGATTGCGTGCAAAGTGTTTAGTATTATGGAATGTTTGATTATGATTTTTTTGAAATTTGTTTTCTCCTGGTAGTAAAGCTTATTGTATAGTTCCTATTCGTCCAGTGAAGCTCTGTGGCGCGGAGCAGTAATGTATTTCTATTTAAAGGGGTTATTAGTCTATAAATTATACGTTATTTGTTGGGTAAATATGAACCCTTATATAACTTAATTGTGAATTCAAGCTCTTTTTTTATTGTTTAGATATGTGAACGAGCTCACTGCCCATCTGGTGTTAAGTGCTTACCGGAGCCCATAGACATCTACAACGTGAATTGTGATGTGTATTGGTTCCAAATAATCATTTAAAATCAGATCGCGGACGTGAGCTCGAGTTGCCATTTGACTAATTGGCAACAAAAATAATTCATGGCTCTCGTTTATCCGCCGACAAGCGATAAAGCTGTTTGTTTGCCTTTTTTTGTATAGTATATTATTGAATCTATATAATAAAACGTGTATATAATATATAACTACTAAGTATTAACTTTGTAACTTTTTACGAAAATCGCACGGATAGAGGAGTATGAAATTTCCCACGATTATAGAAAATATATAGAAGGAGGGCAGAATAGATTAATATTGTTGTGTTTAATATTATTTGTCTATAGTGTAGCTGTAGCGAAATCTGTGATTATAGAAGTAAAGTCTTTGACAATAGAAACATAATACTGTTTTTACTGGTGGTAGGACCTCTTGTGAGTCCGCGCGGGTAGGTGCCACTGCCCTGCTTATTTCTGCCGTGAAGCAGTAGTGTGTTTCGGTTTGAAGGGTGAATGAACACTACACATGAACACTACACTACTCTAACTCAACATTTTGAAATTTTCGTTTTTCTTCACGCAAATCGCTTCACTATGTTAAAAGTATTAAAATTAATCATTATTGATGGGGTTCGAAGTAAGAGTAAATCAGTTAGTTACACAAAAAAACCATAAATAACTAGTCAGGTCATAAGTATTGTCACACAGTAAAAACTTTTCTTTTAGAATGCTGGCCACAAAAAAGTTTATTGAATTCGAATTTCGAATTGTTCATGAAAATAAAAATGTATACTTTTAGAATTTTACTCATTTTTAAATATGGAGTGGACGCTTAAAGAAGACCGTGTTGCAGTTATTGCGTTGCATCGTTGCGGTTACGCGCCAATTCAAATTTTTAACATACTGAAAAATTTGAATATAACCAAAAGATTCGTTTATCGTACCATCAAACGATACAATGAAGACTCTAGTGTAGATGACAGGTCAAGAAGTGGTCGCCCTCGGTCTGTTAGGACTCCAGCAGTGATAAAAGCTGTGAAGGCGCGAATTCAAAGAAATCCCAAACGTAAGCAGAAACTGTTGGCCCTTCAGATGGGGTTAAGCAGAACCACGGTGAAAAGGGTGTTAAATGAAGACTTAGGGCTTCGGGCATATCGAAGAAAAACAGGACATCGTTTGAATGCTCGTCTAATGGACCTGAGACTGAAGAGATGCCGCGCTTTGTTGAAGCGGTACGCGGGAAAAAAATATCGGGAAATTCTTTTTTCGGATGAAAAAATTTTTACCGTAGAAGAGAGCTACAACAAACAAAATGATAAGGTGTACGCACACAGTAGTGAAGAAGCGAGCAACCGTATTCCGCGTGTCCAACGAGGTCATTTTCCATCCTCGCTCATGGTATGGTTGGGAGTTTCTTATTGGGGCTTAACAGAGGTACATTTTTGTGAGAAAGGTGTAAAAACGAATGCAGTTGTGTATCAAAATACAATCCTGACGAACCTTGTGGAACCTGTTTCTCATACCATGTTCAATAACAGGCACTGGGTATTCCAACAAGATTCGGCGCCAGCTCATAGAGCGAAGAGCACACAAGACTGACTGGCGGCGCGTGAAATCGACTTCATCCGGCACGAAGACTGACCCTCCTCCAGTCCAGATTTGAATCCGTTGGATTACAAGATATGGCAACACTTGGAGGAAAAGGCGTGCTCAAAGCCTCATCCCAATTTGGAGTCACTCAAGACATCCTTGATTAAGGCAGCCGCCGATATTGACATGGACCTCGTTCGTGCTGCAATAGACGACTGGCCGCGCAGATTGAAGGCCTGTATTCAAAATCACGGAGGTCATTTTGAATAAACTTCAGTGTCATAAGAATCTATGTTTTGTTAAGTTCATTTTGGTATATGAATGGTTACATAATGAATAAACTTGTTTCAATTATTTTACATTAAACATGTGACAGAATTTATGACCTGACTAGGTATATCTGCAATAATAAAGATTTTCAACTTTTTTCGTTTAAACGCTCCTCCTGTAAATCTACGAATTTGGAGTTGGAGGCATCGACTTGAGACCTTAGAACTTATATATCAAGGTGGGTGGCGCATTTACGTTGTAGATGTCTATGAGCCCCAGTAACCACTTAACACCAGGTGGGCTGTGAGCCCGACCACCCATCTAAGCAATATAAAAATAAAATAAACTTTTACCGTTCGAATCTCGAAATTATTACTTTTCATTTTATATCTCCGACGCCTCTATGACTATAGTTTTCTAGGTCACGAACAAGCAAATATGTACGTACACACGGAACAATACATTAAATTAGGTCGTTTTGATCATAAATTTCATTTTAATGAATACAAATCTGAATGTAGTTATGTAAGAAGAATCCGCTCTACAAAACATGCTATAAATTTTTTTAATAAACTTATTCAGCACGATCAGTCATATTTTTAACCGACTTCGAATTAAAATAAGCTAATAAGTAGATAACAAATACGTTTAATTTTCTCTAGAACAATAAATCTTATAATTCTTAATCTTCGAACTGTTTTAGCGGTCTAATCTACTGCCATAACAATTGAATATGCAATTTCGAAAAGGGCACATGTCGCATATTTTGTCAAATACGTTTTTACATATACATGTAGTTTTGAGGTTTACCTACACCCATTTTATAATAATTCCAGTAATTTTCAATTGCTAATTAACACTAAAATATATCTCAAAAGTTAATATTTTAAATTTTACACTGCTTTAGAAAATAATCAGTTTTTTTTTCATTTCCTGAACCTTTTATATTTTCAGAGATGTGCCCTTTTCGAAATTGCATATTCAATTAGATTTTAGAATTTGTAAAATAAAATAAAGATTTGCTTGAATTACGTTTTTGTATTTTGATTCAGGTTGCTTCGCCAAGGCTTTCGAGCGTGTTCCTAGATCTATGACGTCATCTATAGCCGGCGAGCTGAGCGCGGCGCCCTCTATGACCGGTTCGCTTATTGAAGGTCTAGGACCCGCCGCTCCACCGATGCAGCTCATGCACGTATTGGAATGCACCGTTGATATCAAGGAAGCGGATGCTAAGGTAAGGTATTTAGGACATTTGCTATATTTATTTTCACTACCAAAACCAAAACTAATGAACCTACCGTAATATTTCCCAGAACATTCTAACAGCGGGCTCCTGTTAATTAAGAACGTAGCTAATATCGTTTTTATTATAATCATAATACTTGATACATACAAATATAGTATCAAGTATTTACATATTACGTATACATATATTTGTAGGCAGCGGCTTGGCTCTGTCCCTGGCATTGCTGACGTCCATGAGCGACGGTAAACACTTACCATCAGGTGGGCCGTATGCTCGTCTGCCTGCTCGAGCAATAAAAAATAAATAAATAATAGTGTGTCTAAGATACAAGTAGCTATAAGCGTTTAAAGTTTGAGCTTAAAGCCACCTTTCGTCAAATTGGCATAGTATTTTCATGATGCACGTGAAGAATGACGTCACTGTTCAAGTTTGCGTGACATAAAAATAACGCTTATTTTAAAATAGATTTTCATCAGTCCCAGTACCCAATTCAATAATGAAAACGATATATATTATTTCTGTTCGATATGTGTCGTATTCAGTATTTGATCACAACTTAAATACTGAATTTATTCGATATTTTCACAGGGAACGTTTAGCCATGTTCCGAAGGAGCGTCTCGGTTTCAAACTGCGTGGTGGCATCGACAAGCAAGTGACTATCAATGTCCAACAGGTCACTAATAATGTTCAGACTGAAGTAGACGAGGCACAGGTAATAACGATATAGTAGATCTTCTTCTTCTTCTATCTTTCCTATTATCCTCTGCTGGGGTATAGGGCTTGAATAAAATCCTTCCATTTACATCGGCCTTGGGTAGTCTGTTTTCACTGTCTTAATTTTGATATCTATATTATTAATACGTGAAGCAAAAACTTTGTACCCCTTTTTACGAAAATTGCACGGACGGAGGAGTATGAAATTTCCCACACTTATATAGAATATAGAGAAGAATTACAAAAAGCTTATGCTTTAATAATACATTAAATAAATAAAAAACATTACACACACTACCGTGTATTTGACACACACATATATACTCTTTATTTATTGTCAAACTTTTGTTATTGCTTAAAGTCTATGGTCAAATTGAGAATAGATGTTATTGTTTGTCTTTAATATTATTTGTCTATAGTGTTAGTCTGTACATAATAGTATTTGACAATAAAACCATAATAATGTTCAAAGTTATAATTTCAATTAATTATAGTCGAATTTGGACTACATACTGCGGGACCAGTAATTTTGAGCGATATAAATTTTGTAACATTTATATCAACTTTTTTTGAACATGACATTTTTATGAAAATTCGATATGTAATGCAGATATTGTGTTGTGGATCTCAGTAGATACCATACGATTAGATAGTGGAAATCATATCTGAGGATTGAATTACATTTGGTTGAGAGAAGTATTTATTTGGATTTGGTTTCAGAGTGGCTACACCGGCGGCCTGTATATCGAAAGATGCTTTGGGATACTCCTCGCTCCGGGACGCAGCGTTAAACATTCAGACATGAGACTGCTAGAAATGGTTAGTGTTCAGTTCCGAAATAATAATTTTTTTTTTTTTTTTAAAAGATTTTATGACCTGGTAACTAAGACCTTTAGGTCATGTCTTACTTTAATTTATATACTATTTTTATGAAAGGTGATAATGTGAAATGAAATGAAATGAAATGAGATAAGATTATATGGGATGAAATATAATCTCAGTAAAATGGTGGTCATTTACTGAGATTTTTTTAAAGGGCTTTTTACAGGATCCCGAGAAGCTACGTCCAGCGGCTTTGTTTCATTTTTCCACATTTGTGCACTTTCACAGATATTAAACTGTTAATAAACCACCGTTATTAGACATTTAAACCTGAAGAAACACTAATAGACAAAATAAAACAAATCAAACAACTTCACTCCTCGCGTTCCTGCCAAAAAGTCTAAAAATAATAGATTAATTGAAAAGCAGAAGCATATCCGTCGTCGTGAAAGGTACTAGCCGTACTCGGTCACTTCGCTGGGCATTTAAAATAACATTATTATTTATCGTCATTATTATTAGGGAGTCCAACACTCATATAAATATTAGCTTATCCATTAAGTACATGTATTTTCTACATGGATATCAAGTTTCAAGTCAATAGGATTAATGGTTCAGTAGTTATAACGGAACGTCCGTAAAAACCACTGTAGATTTATATATTAGTATATAGAAGTATAGATTGTAATAACATTGGAACTTTGATGTGTGACTGTGTTTTTTATAATTCAGGTGAGCGGATCATCGGGAGGTTCGGGTTGTTCGGTGTGCGCGCTGTGGAACGCGGGCGAGTCCGCACTCGCGGCCTTCAACGTCGCCAGCGGGGACGGGGCTCCGGCTTACATGTCTCTGGCGCTCGACCTCGTCATACGGGGCATCCCTGACCCCCTCAGGTGGGTCTGTCGAACCGACACCTCATACAGTGCCGGGATACAGTGCGGAGGCACTACTTGTCCCACTTGGGCAAGTAGGAGCTCAGCTAGAACTACTCGTTCGGTGTTGTAGTTTAATAAGATCATTGGCATGTCTTAGTGCTATCTTGAACTATGTTTATTTATTGATTGATTTAGTTGCACCAACAAAGTGATCATCATTACAAAATATTGACAAATTGACAATAAGTACATCATGACTTATAGACAGATGAATTATAGATGCAATCGACAGTGCAGTAGTTGAAAAGTAAAAATAGAATGAGTACGTAGCTTTAAGAAATATGAAATCCAGAATAATACATTGCACTAAGTAACAAAATTTTTAATATCTACACTTAAAACTTGATAACATTTGATCAATTAAGCATTAATGGATATTACATAAAGCAATGAGCATAAGTAACTCGCGACAAAATTCTCCGATACAAAATTGTTTAACAATGACCCTTGTATCAATTATTTAAGATTAATATTACTCAAGGCTTACAGTCTTATTTTGTAGAATTGTAATTTTATATCATTGAAGTTTTAATTGCGATATTTATTATAATATTCTTTCTTGTTTGTGCTGCAGGTTGATCATAGAGACTCCGGTGAAAGTGTTTCCGCCAACAGAAAGATTTTGGTATTATTCGAAAAGACCTCTCGTTCAACAGTTTTACATTAATCTTAAAGAGGTAAGAGCGTTCATTATTCTTCGAATTACCCTCTTAATATTATAAAGTGATAATGTGAACAAAGTTAAACTTTCATGTGAATCTAAAAATAATATTGATAACATTTCACTACAAACATATGACAGAGCTACTCTTGTTCTGAATCGATTTAAAATCGATAAAAATATGTGGCTCGTTTTTTTTTTTTTTATTTGTATGAAAGATTACTGGTGGCCTCGAGGCCTTCCAAGTTTCACCAGGACAGGTGGGTGAGCAAGGGCTCAGTCAGGAGGGTATGGGATTTGCTAATAGCTGCCCGAGCTCCAGCTTTTTTTTCCTACCTATGCTGATAGCCTTGAAAGGCTATTTCAGCTTCTCCTTAACGTGTAGGTGAGCTCACGGGGCTCAAACCGGAAGTGTTTCTAACACTGGCCCTAGCAAGAGCAGTGCTTTGCAGAATCTACCACCGGATCGGAAACGCGACCCACTGAGAAGATCTGGCGAGAAACTCAGTGGGCTGTGTCTGTGGGTTAATTGGCTCGTCGAGCCCTTCGTCACAAGAACTGGGTTCGGCGAGGACGGTGACCGGTGCTTGTGGTACCTAACTGTTAATGGATCGGGAGGATCCGTAATGACGTGTTTTGGGCTGAGCTCCAGCGAATACGTGCATTTGCAGTAAAACAAATGACTGTTTCAGTCCGTGGACCCTCTGGGTCAGCTCCAGTACGAGGTGGCGAGCGTGGAGACCGAGGGGGAACTGGACAAGTCCCGTTTGAACTTGCCGCTGTCGCTGTCCAGCCTGCTGCCGTCGCCGCTGTCCAGCGTGCCCGCCCCGCCATCGCCCTCCGAACCGGACTCTGGTATATATGTATACATATATTTAAACTATAACATTTGGTAGGCAGCGGCTTGGTTCTGCCCCTGGCATTGCTGAAGTCCATGGGCGCCGGTAACTACTCATCGTCAGGTGGGCCGTATGCCCGTTTGCCTACAAGGGCAATAAAAAAAAATTACATTCAAACGATCGCCTTAGATATTTTGTAGGTATTATAAAGGTTAACTGAGGTGGTTTTTTTTTTTTATGGGATTATACCGGGAAATAGCTTCTACAAACTGCGTTCGTTATTAAGTTATTTTTATATATCAATAATGATATACATTGTTAATATTTTTCCTGTCATGCGGTTCTTATTACGAATTGATAAAGTTAAATATGTTTTGACATACGACTGGTGTTAAATCCGTATTGATATGTTCTCAGTACAAAAGGTACAATGATTGATACTCACTTTTTAGATGGCGATGAGCCGCTTCTGAGTGGAACTGGAGAAGTTTCTAAAGACTGTGGCGAAGACGTACTCGTAAACTGGGCCCAGGTGCTAAGAAGGTATATCCTAATTCCTTTTTTTATTAATACGGTGTCTAGTGAACCATGTGTGCAACTATACAATCCGTTTTGGGATGAAGATTGCATTCAAACGCATTTACTTATACTAGTTGTCCCCTGACAGTCAAAACTGGACTATAATTAATTGATATTTTAAGTTTGTACACTATTACGATTCTATAACTGTCAAAGATATATTATATACTTCTATAATCACAGATTTCGCCAAGAACTACACTATAGATAAATATTAATAAAGACAAACAATATTTAATCTATTCTCAATTTAACCACAGACTATAAGCAATAAGAAAAGTTTGGCAATAAATAAATAGTATGCATGCCTGTTTGCGTTAATTTTATGGTAATGTGTGTAATGTTTTTATTTGTTGATTTGTTTTTATGCATAATTAAAAAAAATATTAACATTCTGCACTCCTTCTCTATATTGTCTATAAGCGTTGGAAATTTCATACTCCGTCCCCGCAATTTTCGTAAAAAGGGGTACAAAGTTTATTTTTCACGTATTAATATTACATTTATATGAATTGCCAATCTATGCTTTGTAGTGAATCTATTTTGGAAACTAAACGATTATTGTGATAACTCATCGCAAGCTGACTTCAGTAACGTCAATTGTGCCGGGGTGCAATTCTGGAATACCAACGATAGTACCGTAAATCGCTGAGAAACAACTAGTTTTTATTATTATCAGTTGGACTGGCCCGAGACCCAGAGCATTGAACCACTTGGTGCGGGTCGGTGTGCCGGAAGCCCTCCGCGGGGAGGTGTGGCTCCGGCTGGCCGGCGTCGACCAGAACGATAAACTAATGGAGACCTACAGAACGCTAATTAGTAAGGTTAGTCACTTATCGCATAACACATTGGCAACACTAATACTGTTTTCATATTATGTTGGCAACACCATCGCTATTTTATGATTGAGATGTTCGTGATATCTTAAGGATCTCTTAGTTGTTTCTGGAGAACGAGACCGGAAAATTGAGAATGCTGATTTCCAAATATATGTATCTTATTTTTAAAAATAACAAGAAATTGTAATAGGAAATATAAAAATAAATACATTATTGTTTGACGGATTTTTACCACGATTTATAAATTAGTAAATTAGCTTGTGATACTTAGGCTCTATCCGAAATGTCATGAACACGGTTAGACTCAAGATTGCGGGTCAGAAGCTGGAAACAGACAAATCGCACCTTTAGAATTATAGAGATGCATTTCGAAATTTTCGGATTTCGAATTTAATTCATAAATGGACCTGGAACGACCTTTTTCAGCGACTCTTATTAATCAAATGATCAAAAGTAGCTTAAAAAGGGACAACCTTATCCATTGGTCTCTTTCGCTCCGTCTCTTTTCTCTACGTCTTTTCTGTTTGAAAACTTTATACTTATTTTTTGAGTCGGGTCTCTATAATTCTAAAGGTGCGAAATGTTGTACCTACCCTCTTTCTAGTTTCAGTTTATTATGTTTCCGTTGCCGAGATTAATATTAATGTTGTAATACTATATAGAAAAGCTATTTTAAAATATTTATAAGGTGATTTAGTCCGTTGAGTATTGTAGTTTTATAGTGTAAGATTATGTACAAAATAATATGTGCGTATTGTGTTGCTTTTGTTTTTTTTTTTGTAATTTATATTTCTAAATTTCTCTTCACTTTCTACTTATATGTGACTTTGATTGTGGAAACGTATTTGGTTATTGTTTTAGCTTTATTTTTTTAAAATATTATATGTTTATCAGGCTCGGTGGAGTGATGATCTGTGCAGGGTGGCTGGCAGGAGCTGGATGAGAGAAGCCGAGGATCGTGCTCAGTGGCGAGCAATTGGAGAGGCCTATGTCCAGCAGTGGACTGCTATAGGCTGATGATGATGATGATGATGTTTGTATTGTACTGTTTGTTTCTCAAATAAATAAATAAAAATACTCCAGGAGTGTCCGTTCGAGGCGGTGATCCAGCGCGACATCGCGCGCACGTTCCCGGCGCACGACTTCTTCCGCGAGGCGGGCGGGCTCGGGCAGGACTCGCTGCTGCGGATGGCGCGCGCCTACGCCGTGTACGACCACGAGGTCGGCTACTGCCAGGGACTCAGCTTCCTGGCCGCCACGCTGCTGCTGCACGTGAGTCTCCATCTGACTCTCTATCCGAACGTGGCTTACTGGGAGATTGATAACCTTAAAACCAGAGGACGTTTCTCGACGTTAGAGGTGCAAGGTCAGCACAGTCCACTGAGTTTCTCGCCGGATCTTCTCAGTGAGTCGCGTTTGCGATCCGGTGGTAGATTCTGCGAAGCACGGCTCTTGCTAGGGTTCGTGTTAGCAACGTCATCAGGTTTGAGCCCCGTAAGCTCACCTACTAGTTAAGGTTACGCTGAAATAGCCTCTCAAGGCTCTCATCTAGGTAGAAAAAAAAGTGCATTATTTCAACCGTTTTTATTTATTTATTGCTTGAACTCACAGCCCATATTTTATTGCTTAGATGGGTGGACGAGCTCACAGCCCACCTGGTGTTAAGTGGTTACTGGAGTTCATAGACATCTACAACGTAAATGCGCCACCCACCTTGAGATATAAGTTCTAAGGTCTCAAGTATAGTTGATGACAATGACTGCCCCACCCTTCAAACCGAAACGCATTATCACTTCACGGCAGAAATAGGTAGGGCGGTGATACCTACCCGTGCGGACTCATAATACGTCCTACCATCAGTAATTGATATTTCAAATTATTATTGGTTGTAAGCTAGTAAATATAAATGCAACCTTAATACAGTAATATTCCTTTAAACAAAACAATCTTAACAAAATTATAGTATAGAGGTGGAGATTTGGACCGCAAGATTCAAACACATAACTACAAATAAAATCTTATAAAATACGATTTTTCTGAACGTAAATTTGATTTCTCATATCGTGGTCTGTAAGTTAGAGCATGTGTATTTGCGTGCGTGAGTGAAGGCCCATGCTCTATTCTAATACGTAAAGAACAACAATTTTAGTCATTTATAAATAAAATTAGTGATCAAACATGTATTTTCTAATATAAAAGTATTGAATAATTGATTTATCTAGTTTATATTGTTAATCCTACTGTCGTTGTCTACAGATGCCTGAAGAGCAAGCTTTCTGCCTTCTTGTCCGGCTAATGTATGGCTATGGACTAAGAGAGCTATACAAGGACGGATTTGAAGCTCTCTATATGAGACTGCATCAATTAGATAGGCTGATCGAGGTAAAGTTGATGCGTTGAAGGTTTTTGTACAGTTTAATCATCATTCATCATTCTCTTGCCCTTCTCCCAGTCACCTGGGGTCGGCGCAACATGTTTTCTCCTTCCATACTCCTCTATCATATACCATTTCTTCGCTCACTCCCCTCTTACATATATCGTTTTTCACGCAATTCATCCATTTCTTCTTAGGTCTACCTCTTCCTCTATAGCCTTCCACATTCATAGTTAACATTCTCTTACCAACCTCATTTTCATTTCGTCTCATCACATGTCCACACCATCCCAAACGCGCACTTCTCAACTTCTCTGTCACAGGTGGCACTTTCAGACTTCCTCTAACATATAACATATTTAATTTTGTACAGTTTAATATTGTTTTTAAATAAAATAATGTCATAAGAGTTATTAGAGATTTATGATTATAATTAGTAATCAACTTAGACTTAAAGAAATGTGTGTTGTAACTTATTCGTTGTTGAAAAAGTAATTAGGAACATCGTTATAATATAATGTGAAAACTTTTAATTTTATTACATAGGACCAACAGACATGGCCTAAGACTTAAATTATACAGTATAACGGCTGCCCCACCCTTCCAACTGGAACGCAGAAGTATTTAACCCACCTGTGCGGGTTTCCACGGTACACCGCACAACCAGCCACCTCCGATACTACTGATTAAATAACTTTTACAGGAACAATTGACGGACTTACGTGCGCATTTCCAAGAACTAGGTGTCGAACCGCATATGTTTGCATCGCAATGGTTCCTAACGGTGTTCACCGCGCGCTTCCCTCTGCCATTGGTATTTGTATTATTATTATAAGTATTTAGTTTTTTATAAATATATTGTAGTTTTGTTACGTAAATGTATCGCTCCTAATAAATTTGGTAACTAATACAACCCGTTGTGCACTCGAGTCGGACGGCTCGGATTAAAAAGGACATTAAAGACAGGAAAAATTTAAAACATATTATAAAAAATTCACAATGACCCTTCATTTACTTGAATATAAAAACAATCATACATTTTTTATCTGTTCGTTTTAGGTGTACCACATTCTAGACGTGTTTCTGCTGCAAGGTATCGACACGTTATTCCAAGTTGCACTGGCGTTGCTCTCTAGGTCACGGAAGGACTTACTGACACACGATTTCGAAGGGGTCCTGAAATATTTCAGGTTTGTTATGTTTGATAGTTTCCGTAACTCACCACATCCATATATGTATGTATCTTTGTATAATCATGATCAATAATAAGCGGTTGAACAATGTCGTGCTGTGTATGTCGCTAAATGCACAAATTATTTTATTGTGACGATTGTCAGCAACGGTACGCTAATGTGACAATGCGAAGATGTTAGAAATTCGAATAAAAGATCTATAACTAACAATTTAAGAAGTACTCAATAGAGATGTTAATAGAATTAAAACGGTTATATAATTACTGTTATTTTGAATAACGACGAAATAAATTGTAAATAAATAAAACTTAATTTTGTAACACCAATCTCAGCATGGCATGTGTCATTTTTTAGTATTTTTGTTCTATAATTAGTTAGTCGCTAGTTTTGATCCGAAATGACGTCATGAACAATATAGTTGCATTCAGTAAGGTTTTGTAAATTTGTGTGTTAATTAAAAAAAACGCTTCTTATTGGAAATGTACACTCACCTGTTTGAATATTTAATACGCTATTAATAACAGATAAACAAAGCAATAATAATTTGAAAAAATCTTGTACAGAGTAACGCTGCCTAAGAAATGTCGCGCTGAGGAGACATCAAGACAGATCATCAAACTTGCGTGCAGCATCAAAGTGAAAAGACTCAACAAATATCAGTTGGAATATGAGAAGTTTATCAAAGGTAAATTAATTCTATAATGCCCCTTTTTTCGTAATAATTCCTATCCACATTTCATATTTAAGTAGTTTTCCATAGAGTAGGATTAATATCCAGCGAAGGATAGGATTAATATCCAGCGAAGGATAGGATTAATATCCAGGAAGGATTTTTTTAAGGGATTTTATGACCTGGTAACTGAGACCTTTAATCTCAGTAAAATGGTGGTCATTTACTAAGATTTTTTCAATGGACTTTTTGGAGGATACCGAGAAGTTACGTTCAGCGGCTTTGTTTTATTTTTCCACATTTGTGTACTTTCACAGATATTAAACAGTTAATAAACCACCATTATTACACATTTAAACCCGAAGAAACACTAAATAAACAAAATAAAACAAATCACACAACTTCACTCCTCGCGTTCCCGCCTCGATACTCGATACTCGATACTAAAAGTCGATACCTTCTAGAAACATGTATATTATAAAAGATTAAATTTTAAATCCACAACTTTCGTAATTTCGAAAATAATAAACGCCATATTGACGCGTATATTTACATATTCCGTTTTAGAATCTGCTGAAAAAGAGAAAATAAATGTAGAAATGGAACGATTGAAAGTAATCAACAATCAAATGCAACTAGAGAAAGAAACGCTCGAAACCCAATTGAACGAGGTATGTTAATATTGTAGCTTAACTTAGCTTTCGTTTAGCTAGGCTTATATAAGCTAAGTTTGTGCTATAAGTTGTTCCTTAATTACTAATTTCATCAATTATTTCGTACACGAGCACAAAATTTGTAAAATTCAGAATATAAAATAAAAACAGAACTAATTATTATTACTCTTGAAATATAAGGCAGTATGGTTAAGTCGAGGTCGAAAATTTGAATTTTGAAAAAGGAATATGTTAATTCAACTATGAGTACAATATGAGTATGTATTGTTATTAAAATTCGGTGTGTTTACATTGACGTAATGATAGCTTAATTTCACAGGCCCGCGCTAATTACGAAGAAGCCGAGAAGGCGACGGCACACTACGCGTCCGTTGCTAGGGACTACAGAGAGATCTGCGCAAGGCTCGACAGGCAGCTGCACGTCCTGCAGGCAAGCGCGCATATTGTAGACGCACACTGCACACGTACACCCACACTGACGCACACTCACACCCACACTTCACGTGCACATGTACACTGCAACGCACACCCACACTGCACGTACACACTCACACTGCACGCGCATATGCATACGTACACACACTATGCACGTGCACACTTACACTGCACGTGTGTATGCACACTGAACGTGCCCATGCACACTGCATGTGCACACACACACTGCACACCCACATTGCACATGCACCCTGTACGTGCACCTGCACATACACACACACGCACTCACACACTGCACGTGCACCTGCACACGCACGCCCACACTACACGTGGACACCCACACTGCACACCCACATTGCACATGCACCCTGTACGTGCACCTGCACATACACACACACACACTCACACACTGCACATGCACGCTGCACACGCACATGCACTGTTTAATGTCTGGGCACATTCCACCGATGATAAAATCATGCACAAATCGAGCGATAACTCATTGATTGATTCAGTGAATTAATTCAGCGGCTCCTTTTGAGTGAAAAAATACGTCTACGTTCTTACTGAATTACCGGCTTCGCGGAATCATTCAACTAGTCAGTAAAAAGTATAAATAAGAGTAGAATTCAGAATAATACACTAATTAAAAATGGTCTTAAGTAAGATTTGTAAAATACTTCGATTTTATTACTATAATATTTTGAACGGTAAAATTGAATTTGAAATTGAAAATTGAATTGTTGAAATCAATCGAAATTCTGTAAGGTGCTACTAGAAACTGAAGTATAAAAATAATCTAAATTACATAATATCTTGTTTAAATTTCAGGACACCGTAAAAGATTGTGTAACTTGCAGCATGAAATTAACACCGAAGGATAATAAAGGTCAGTATTTCCGTGACCCCATCGCAGATACGAATACTAATTTCGTGTTATTCTATCACATTCAGTCGAGCTAAGAAGTTTAACTTCACCAATCTAAGTATTTCGTTTATAAAAATAAAAGTATACTGACAAAGTTACTATTTTTTTAGATAGTAAATACAGTACATCGATTGCAGAAGATTGAATGAAAATGTATTCTTGCATATAACGTTTTTTTTTTATTATATGTAATTTTACAGAAGCAGAAAAAGGCGACGGCAATCTCGAAGGCACAACGGATACTGAGACTAGATTAAGACAAAAAATATGCGACTTGGAACTCGAACTAGCTCAAGTGAAACTGGCACACGTGCAGGCGCAGTGCAGTAATCAGGTAACGTAAAATTTATTATGAAAATATGTAAATTAATTTGACGTCGTCGTGGCCTAAAAAATAAGATCGGTGCATTCGCATTAAGCGATGCACCGGGGTTCGAATCCCGCTAGTGGGTACGAATTTTTCTAACGAAATACATACTTCACAAATGCTCACGATTGACTTGTACGGTGAAGGAATAACATCATGTAATAAAAATAAAACCCGCAAAATTATAATTTGCGTAATTACTGGTGGTAGGACCTCTTGTGAGTCCGCACGGGTAGGTACCACTATCCTGCATATTTGTCGTGAAGCAGTAATGCGTTTGGCTTGAAGGGTGGGGCAACCGTTGTAACTATACTGAGACCTTAGAACTTATATCTGAAGGTGGGCGGCGGCATTCACGTTGTAGATGTCTACGGGTTCTAGTAACCACTTAACACTAGGTTGGTCGTGAGATCGCCCATCCACAATGGCAAGAAAAAATATATTTGAAAATAGATTATTAAACAATATTCTACTTTTTAGTATTAAAAATAACAAAGATTATGTCAACAGTGGGTAATCACGATCGTAGGTGTAAAGACGTAGTAGGGTCACTGCATCACAGATTTCGATCGAATAATTATTTTAATTTGCAGGAACTCAGTCACCAGCTTAGTGCAGCTCTGAACGAGGTGCAAGCCGCGATGAACAACCAAAAGCAAACCGTCGCACCTTGGCTAGTTCGAACACTTGGTAAGGAATATAAGTTTATACATATTTATACATTATATGTACACAGTTCCTGAAACGTTGACTAGGAAACAAAGCTTTTTATTTTTGGTTTTCTGCATTAATGAATTCTTTCTAAATTGGAGCATATTTTGTGGGATTTAAACATAGAAATCCGTCAAAAGGTTATAGAATGTGTCAGAGAATTTTAAATACACTGGAAACGCATTGCCCTTCAGCTGTCTGGTAAAAAAATAAATTATAATCAGTTAAAATGTTAGAAAAGTTGCAGGCAGCCTAATTTAACGCTACACAGAGAGTGCAGAACTGGCAAATCATCACTTCAATTTATTACGTGCCTTAATTTATTTCACGCTCGCATCTAAGTAGAGATCACCTATTGATTCCCACACAAAATATCCTAAAACTTTTGTGCGGTTGATTGAAATTACGTAAACATACTATATTTGATAATACCATATCTATTGTCTTAAATAAAATACAAACTATTTAACATTATTGTCTTAAAGTTTACTTAGGATAACTTATATTTTTGTGTGGATTTTTGTTATTTTTTTTAATAGAACAAGTTTTATTTAAGCTCTTAAAATATTGAATGAAAATGTTTGAAACCCATTTGACACAATTGCTTTGAGAAGTGTGGTGTATTAAATATGTACAAATTAAGTACATTTCTGCTTTTCTTGGTTGATTTTAATTAAAACGAGTGCATGCCGCGTGAATATATCACTTTTCTATTGCTCTTCGGATCAATGTTCATCGCTTATTGTTGGTTTACCGTTTCTTTTTAATTGTAGGTCACTAATTGAAGTCGGCACGAGTATTAAGGTGATTTTGCATATATTATCGACATTTGTGTGTTTTGTTGGAATGGGCTAGTTTTAATAATGAAATGTTATGAAAGTTATACATACATACATACCTACGACATCACTGTTATGGTAATGACAGAAAATGAAATTTTTCGAAAATTAAAATTAGCTGTAGTGCTTTGTTTTGTTGTGTATTTGATAACGCTTTTTCTATTGTGTGTAGTTTTGTTTGGTTCGGTTTTATTTTCTTGTAATTGTAAATATTGTACGAATAACTATATTTCAAATTGACAGGCTCCATAATGGACGCGGCACAGAATAAATCAACATTCCAGACGTACATACCGAATTTTAATCAAGAATCTTCAACGCCCATTCATCGACAAGGCTCGTTTTCTAGTCAAAGCCACAACCCAGTGAACCTCGACAGACGAGTCTCTGAGCCGTACAGTCCTGATGTTGTCCGAAGGAAGAAGGACCTCAACGCCAAGAGACATTCGATGCTCGTCGAGTCGAACATGACCAAAGAGGCCAAAGAAGTGAATCGGCGAAGTCATGACGTCACGATAGTGAAGAACATCTCGATGGGTTGACAAGCATCGATGTCCGACATTAACACGTCAACGTCAATGTCGACGTTTTAACGTTTTCGACTTGTATCGATAAGGGAACTGTCGGTGTATAGAGTTGAAATTTGCCAGTATCGATATAATTTTATCGATTCGAGTGCTTACAAATATATAATTGTAGGCGTCCTATCGATATAGCCGTCGATAAATTTTGATTGTTTCGTACGTAGTGGGGCATATTATTTATTATATTGCCGAAATTGTATAAACAAAAATATAGCACATAAAATATAACGGAATAAGTCGTTTCATATTGCTTCTAACTTGAGGTGTAGATAACAAGTGCACAGATTATTATTGTATAACAGTATATTTACACTAGTCATAATGTATTGTAGTCGAGTGTTTATAGGGATGGTTAAATGATATTCGGTTATGTTCTGTTTAACTAATTCGCTAATGTCACTTTACAATGAGAAAAAAGACATGCTACGTTTCTATTGGCTAAGCTTTTTAAAACAAACTGCCCAATACTCCTTATCGATCGTAATGTCTTTCTCGAGCTATCTGTATCGATTTTTTAGTATTCGAATTATAGTACGACAATGTCAGCTTAGCCAAGTAGAGCACTTCGCATAGCGCAGCATAGCCTGATGTTGTTTAGTCACCCTAATACCAAAAGTTATCTATACGAATGTGCAAAGTCAATATCTCGATAAACGATTTTCGTATTTCTCTTATGTTTTTCTCATGACATTTTTTTGTAATGATGAATGCTATTAAAATTCGTAAAGTGGCTTCACTGTTCTTTTTTTAAAATCTGATATATTTGTGATGCGGGCCGATTATTTCACTATTACAAAAAAAAAGCTATGTGGAAAATTCGCCGAAAGTGAACTTATAACGCGTCTACGATGGCTGATTAGTTTAACGCGATACATCCACGCCTGTCTTAATTTTTGTGAGATATTGTAAAGTCACATTTGTGAAGTTAGCTTTGTCGTAGTTGATAGATTCAACTGTAACTGATATAAAAGATGTTATGAAGGAAGCTTTGATATCGCTTAACCGCCAGCGGGTGCGTGCTTTTGTGTTGGTCCTGTGTATTTCAACTGAAATATTTTCGAGTGTACTGGAATGTCAAGTTTAAATGTGTCGTTTAGCGCCTCTGGTGTTATAACGTGGAACTACGTTTTTTTATATTTTTTTAAAATTCTGCCTTGTAAAAAGACGTACTGGTCGCAAAAAAAGATTAATATCTTGTCAGAAGATAATATTTAAATGGCTCGATTTGTATTGTGTGTTTGCTTAACGAGAAAGTTGAGTTTAAAATACAAATATATGAAAGTTGTTTAGTAGAGGGAATGTAGAAAAAAAATTATTTCTTTTTCATTAGCCCAATGTAACTCCAATAACAATTCTATGTCATGCGTGATCTGCGTTCTCGGATGAGACCAGGTGACCTTGTCCAATATTACTGATTTAAGAAATTTAGCTTCCTAAAACGACATTAGCAAAAAAATCTTAGTCAAGTAAACTTAATGTAATTTTCTGTTCATGTGAGGTTAGTCGTACATCCCTGCTTCGGCAACAATCTATATTTCCTGTATTAAAACAATTCATACATAATTTGTTTTGCCAGAAGAATCTCAAAATTTTGTACTTAAATTTTCAAGGCGCATGATATTTATCGTTGTCTAATCAAATAAATTAAAAATAAAACCGAACATAAGTACTGAAAGAGTTGAATGATCACGTCTACTTGCAGTTTCAAAGCGGAATTTCGAAACACGAAGGGACCCTAATGAATAAAAGTAGAATTATACATATTATTGAATAATATTTAAATATTTATATTATATAATATACAAGTTAATTTATTATGTATGTATGTAGCATGCTTGTATTTACTTATGATTAGAAAATTAGAAATTGTTTGTTTCGTGTGATCTGATTGTCTTATGAAAATCGTTTAATATATTAATGAATGTGATTATTATTGTGTTGTAGAATATTGCTGGTTGAAGAATTGCATTTCGGAATACTTACAGAGTAGTATGTAAACACGGAAAGCCGTGAAATTCGTATTGGTAACAAATGAGTCATAGTTTTTCATTAAAGTAAATATGAGACTTCGGATTTAAACATGGAACCCAACTTTCTTTATAAAAAAAATCATTATAGTATATTTTTACAAATTTAATGGGGATTTTTTTGTGGTGAATTATGTGTTATAAACCCGTATCGGTTGCTGCTGCGATGCTATATAAATGATATTATTATAAATAATTGAGACTATGGTCAGTGTGCTTAGTGCGAGTTTTCTAAAGTTCTCGATAGCGTAAAAGTTAACTCAAATTTGTATGCAGTTGAAACAGCGCCCCTAGCGGCAAACGTAGGCAAATGTTGCAACTCCATAAAAATTCGACTTGACTTTTACTCTATCGAGAACGTTAAAAAACTCGCACTAAGCACAATGGTCATAGTGGATCATAGACATAGTGGAGTAACCATTTCATACCAGGTGATAGAATATTATTATGTTCTATAATTTAATGTTTTATTAATGATGGTTGTTTGCGATAACTAGGGCCGATTTCAAAATTGTAATAATGATATTGCTCGATTGATATTAAATTTAGTTTTATTAGAATAGTACTAAAGATTTTACCAACTTGAAAATAGAATATACAGAATAAGGATTCTGAGTGAGAACAGAAACGGAATATTGTTTACATAATTAAACGTGAAATTGAAGATTTGGAAAAGGAGAGAGGAAGACATGAGTTAAAGGTAAAAGATAAACTGCAATATGCAAAAGGGAAGCAGTAAATGAAAATCTTGAGAGGGACCGTTGATGTCACATATTCGTAGTTTCATATTTAGGACTTTAGCTACAGTAACGCCATCTTGATTTTCCGCGCACACTTAGTAAATGTGATTGGTTTTCACTTCCTCCTCAACAAAAAAGTTATGTTATGTATATATTTAATTTTATGGGAACAAATTATATTCAATTTTATTAGGTTATTACATTTTTACTACATATCGTCGCTGTCAAAACAAAATCTGCTATGTGAAAAAACTCTTATTTTGATTATCGAGTAAAACATTTTCGTATAAAATTTTATACGAAAGTGAATTTTTAAGAACTATATCAAATGAAAGCTATAGATAAATATTAAAGCTATAGACACTTAACAGTTTTTTTTATACGGTAGATAGGGATGTGAACTATACGAAAAGGTCAAAAAGTAAAAATCTCAAAAAGTGCACATAGCAGATTTTGGTTTGACAACGACGATATTCTAAATTCTTTCTTTTAGAATTTTTGGTGTAGTTATTTATTTGGTATTTTTGGTTTCATATTTATACATTTGTTCATTTTGTGTAATGACGTCACAACGTGAGCAATATTTTTGTCTTATATTAGATATTCCTTTTTTTTGGTCTGTATATCTTTGGCGGCTAGATTTTTTGTATACAATTTAATAGACAGCTAGCTGATAATATTTGAGGTACGAAGTCCAAACCTAACTCAATTTATGCATCTTAAATTCTTAAACAAAATATATGTAGGTGTGGGTCTAAATGAAATCACTATTTCTTGGGTTTAACTATACTTTTTATTTAATTTCTTAAAGAGCACGTTAAACACGTCTTACTCCTAAGGGCGGCGTCGTGCGAGAGAGCGAGCTAGCGCTACATCCGTGCCTTTCACACATCATGCGTTCAGAATCCTTTCACTCGTTCAGAAATGTTTTACAATAATTAGAAATGTTAGTAATAATTAAATAATTAAATCCTACATATATAAATCCGATTATGTCAAATGTTTTCTCCTATTTCAGATTCAGCTTAAGACTATTTCTTACTGATACGAATAATAAATCTAAATAACTCGATTGAGATTAAAGCCGGAAGCTTGTGGGCGACGAATATATGCAATAAACTGCCATAAGTTAGTAGTAAGTTGTTTATATCATCACATTTTATATCATTAGACAATAACACATGCCTACTATATTTGTTTTAATAATGTATTATAATAATATTATGATATTGCATACGGTTTTGTTGAACATTACTTTGATCTCTAACTTATTACAGATGTGTTGATTCCAAATTGTAAAAAAATATAATATATTAGTTTATAGTACATATTGCAATGGTTGTTTTATTTACGATATCGCAGATGATTTAATTCTCAAGGATTAAAAAAAAACCACTTTGTTTGTGGATTCTTGTTGCATATTGTGTACAGTTGTAATTAAAAATATGCTTAAATAAAAAACCAAACTAACTATTAATTTTCCATATTTTTCCTTGGCACTTGGATTTTTTTTTTTTTTTTTATTGCCCTTGTATGCAGACGAGCATACGGCCCACCTGATGGTGAGTGGTTACCGTCGCCCATGGACTTCAGCAATGCCAGGGGCAGAGCCAAGCCGCTGCCTATATTCGCTCTAATATGCCTTGGATATTAGAGCGAAATGAAAAAAAACATGGTTGTGTCATCGGTCCTTGATGCATGTGCATCAATTGTAAAGTTAATCCGACGTTTGTGACTGAAAATGACGTTTAAAGTTTTCGTTAGATATAAACAAACATACTTATGTACATACCGAGCTAAAAAGGGGTATTCGAATTTAAAGAACACATACTAACTTGTAACGAGGTAAATAAATATTGAGCAATATAATAACCCTTCATCGCAAGCGACGGGTTCGACGAGTAAATTAAACCACAGACACAGCCCACTGAGTTTCTCGCCGGATCTTCTCAGTGGGTCGCGTTTCCGATCCGGTGGTAGATTCTGAGAAGCACTGCTCTTGATAAGGTTTGTGTTAGCAACGTCGTCAGGTTTGAGCCCCGTGAGCTCACCTACCTGTTAGGGTTACGCTAAAATGGCCTCTCAAAGTCATCAGCTCAGGCAGAAAAAAAGAGCAATAGTCACTTTCTTAATAGAGTAGGTACATATTATACTAATTGTTAATACCGAAGAGACAGGAACAGATAAGGCCGTAGGGAACTTCGATTAAGAGAAGAAGCACAATTCCAGAGGGATGTAATAACTTCGTTTATTGGCATTAATAAATAAAAGAATCCGCTACAAAATTGCTGGAGGCTTAAGGGGCTTTTCCAGCTACTCACGGATCGGTAGGTGAGTTCACGGGATTAACCTGAGAGGATTTGCTAATACTGGCCCTAGCTAAGCTTTGTGCTTCGCTGAATCTACCACCGGTTTGAAATCGCGACCCACTGAGAAGATTCGGCGAGAAACTCTGTGGGGTCTTTGGGGTCTATGGGTTAATTTACTCGTCGAACCCTCAAGCGACGGGTTCGACGAAGACGGTGATCGGTTTCTTTGTGTAATGCTGTCATAGCAATACGGCTTTCTATATCACCTTACTCCATCTTGATAATACAAGCATATTTATCTAAACTTACGCTAGATTGCGACCCATTGAGAAGATACGATGCGAAAATCAGAAGGTCATGCCTGTGTGTTAAGTTGCATGTGAACTCATCGCCGTATTTATTGGACGAGAATGGTGATTCGTGTAAGGCTTCAAAAATACCTGAGAGTAGATCGGGAGAATCCGAATGACAGTGCTTAGGGTTAGGGCGAACGGTGTCTGCGTATCGCCCTGTAGGAGTGTTGTTCTTGTGTCGCACTGCCTTTTCGAAAAAGCGTTTCTACGCTGTCTTCGTATACTCATTGATTTAGTTCGAAGTAATTTTGAGATCTATTTTCCTCACAAACTACGGTGCTCCGAAGGTTATACTACAAAAACGGATTTGTATAACTAGACTTATCTAAAATTTCCTACACAATAAGGACGGAAAAGTAGAATTCGCTGAAAACGACATCTACTGTGAAGTAGCATTATTTTTACATAACTAACCTAGCGACATCTATTTGTGAGTAGCGTAAAAGGAATTTGTTTTTTGGCGTGTACAAAGGTCAAAAACAATTCTTTCAGCATTATTTATACGTGATATAAACATTTCATTATCTTTAATTACTCTCTAGAAGACATGTATAAAATTTTAAATGTACATTGTATATTGTGTACAGATCTCTACCAATAAATTTGATATAGGTCGTTACGTCGCGTCGTATTGAAAGTCTGTTGTTCCTGTTTCAGTATTTGAGTTTTTGGCCCATAAATCGATGCCTCCAATGAACACTTCTCTAACTCAAAATTTTGAAATATTCGTTTTTCACGCAAATCGCTTCACTATGTTAAAAGTATTACAATTAATCATTATTGATGGGGTTCGAAGCAAGAGTAAATCAGCTAGTTACACAAAAAAACCATAACTATATCCCTACAACGCGGGACCTACCTACAACGCAGACCTACTACAACGCGGGACCTACTACAACGTGGGACCTACTACAACGCGGACCTACTACAACGCGGGACCTACTACGACGTGGGGCCTACTACAACGTGGGACCTACTATAACGCGAGATCTACTACAACGCGGGACCTACTACAACGCGGGACCTACTACAACGTGGGACCTACTACAACGCGGACCTACTACAACTCGGGAATTACTACAACGCGGATCTACTACAACGCGGGACCTACTATAACGCGATATAATATCTATAATCTCCTCTGTGGGTCACGATTCCGATTTGGTGGTAAATACTGCGGAGCACTACGCTTGCTAGGGCCAGCGTTAACAATCCTCTCAGGTTGAACCCGCGTTCTCGCCTACACGTACGGTGAAGCTTTTTTTTTTTCGGGCCGGGGGCCGAACCTCCTTCGAGGTCCCCGCCCTAGGGGGCGCGCGGGGTATGTGGGACTTGACGATCTGCAAAGTGTTGGGAGCAGACCGCGGGCCCAAGGAATTTTGGGGCCCGCGGTCTGCTCCCACTAAACGACTCCCCTGCACTCTTACATCCGACTTCCGATCTCCGTCCGGGCTCAAAACCCGGTCAGAGTAGGGGTTTCCCGTAGTCAACACTACAACCAGACACGCGGCGCCACCCCGAGGCCGCCCGACCGACGGGTCGTCGAGGCGATAGTCGACGACCAACGACGTCGGTCTCCGTGGTACGGCGGCCCTACCAGGCCGCCCGGGCGATGCCGCTGGTATTCCGAGATACACCGCTGGGCCAGTACCAGCCTACCAGGTTGGAACGCGATACACCGCCGACCGGGTTGCTCTTTCACAGTATGTTCGGCGACGACAGCGATGAGGAAAATGAGGACCGCATCGCAGTCCGCAGCCGCCGACGCGTCGTCCCGTCCTCATGATGCCAGCGCGCTAGAGCGCCTCAACCCCCTTAGGTCGCCCCGTGACCATCACCGTTAGGAGACTGCCTCCTCATAGACGTACGGTGAAGCTAGCATAATCCCTCGAGGTTACTAGCAATAGATAGGCAAAAAAAATGCAAGAGCAACTGCAGAATTATATTAGTATTGGGATATACCATACGGAAGGCGGTTAGGTTGGTAATTAGTTTTATATATGAACATCTATATATACTCATAAACGAATTCACGTCCCGCAGTGTACAAACAGATTAATTGACGATACGGACGAATCATATCTCTTGTCGCTCGAACATAACTAAGTTCAACATGTCACTGTTTGAATACATGATATTTTATTTGCAAGCACTCTCGTTATAATTATGGAATCGTGCCAAACGTGGGCCCACGCGCCGTCGACCGCTCACGGCAGCCAGCATGTCGTGACGTACTCCATTGATCATAAACAGACAACTTATTTCGAGATCGAAAACTTCGTTACAAATAAATCGTGGCCAAGAGGCCTTTTCGGTTTCACCAGGACAGGTGGGCGAGAAAAGGCTCAGCCAGGGGAAATAAGTCTAGACTAAGTACATCTTTAAATATAATAAAAAATATGAGATTCAAGTAATTTCTTTAAAGTTAATAATGACGTAAAAAAAACAAAAGTTTTCATACAAAAATATGTGAGAACAGGACCTTATTAGTATTAATTGAGTTTATTACATATAAAAAGTAGTAAAAGTACCTACTCACGAAGTCACGATTATTAATAACTAGCGACCCGCCCTCGCTT